TTATAAAATATTCTCATATCATATAGCCGAATAAAATTGTCATGGAAAGTCTTTGAAGCTGTCAATTTCATTTATCATTATCGTTACTTTTAATGACTTTATTCAATATGACGTGTTTACTGCAATATAGAATTCTCAGCGTAAAGCATTTCAACAAGTTTTGAACAAAAAACAGAAAAGAAAAACAAGATCGATAACTGCATACTTATGCAGATGATTATAAGTATACGGTTGTGGAGATTGTTGAATTTTAACTGAGATCATGAACCGATCAATATTAAACCACCATTGAAAACCTGGAAGCACCGGTCGGCCGTTTCGTCTTGGTATGAGACTACTTTGTGTTCTCACACGAGACTGAAGGTCTTTGGTTCGAATCCCGCGCGGAAGCTCGTGAATACACACTGTTGAGGCGTCTCACACCAGGATGAAACGGCCGTCCAATGCTTCCAGGTTTCTAGCGGTGGTCTAAAGTTGATTGGTTCATGAGTTCAACTAAAATATACACATAGAGTTATCAAATAAACTATCTGGATTTGAATGGAATGTTTTATAATAAGATTAGAATCTGTACAACTTTTAATTAGCAACATGTTTAAGAATACAGGTTATTGACTAGGTCAGCTCCTACAACCTGTTCGTCACATAGTATATTTGCTAGATGAGGTATTACAGAGCTCTCATATTTTTGATTGAGAGTATGGATTCTAATGTATCGGAGTTTCGTTTCACTGGAAGATATATAAGAAGATAGATTTGAATGAAGTAAATGATAATGAAACACTTGTCAGGAGTTTACAAGGTGTGTTTTTAAATTTTAAGGAGAAAAGGTTGGGAAAAGTTTATTATTATTGTCCTAAGGATTACGATAAGTTATAGTGTTCAATAATAAACAATATGATAGTCTGTGTCTTTGCACCGCACATATACTTTCCGAAGTAAATTATTGTACAAGGTTTTTTCACTAGAACTACGTGATACGGCCTTCCCAAGCAAATTATAACATTTTCATTCAAAATGGAAAAGTTACATTCGATAGAAAAGGACTCATTTGATTGGAATCATTAATCGATCAACGTTAGACCCGTATTGAAAAACCAGAAGCATTGGATGGCCGTTTCATCCCAGTATGGGACGTTTTATCAACGGACACCCACGATTCTTCATGAAGGACGCGAATCCAGAACTTTTGGCCCCGCTTGCGAACGCCTAACCACCAGACCACCGATCCGGCATTCGACGGTGTTAATGTCTAACCTCAATCAATCTATGGCATTTGATCTACCTTTCGTAGCTTTTGTAATGGTTTGTGAAAGCTCATGGTTTCATCAACCTGTTTTATCTCAGTCACAAGTTCTCATAGAATGTGGCTTAGGAGTGAGTAAGTTTAACGAGCAATTTAAACAAAAGTATGATCACTGAAATAACGTATTTTCGTGAATGTATTTATGCAAAACAAACAAACAATATTTCGACTGATATGGAGATTACAAATCACTAACCCAATTCTATATATTCGATTGAATATCCAATTTTAATTGCAGGATATTATCTTACTGTGATTTTCATTTAGCAGTTAAATAAATAGTAAATATATTAATAAGAAAAGATACATTGACCAATATTTGTTACATAATCTCTATTATGACACATCATTTAGTCTGTGCATGTTTATTTATACATATCTGTGTCTCTATGTGTAGATATCAAATTTTCATCCAATCGGGGTTTGGATAACATCAATTTAAACCATCAAGTATAAATCACGTAAACATGATAAAGAAGTAGGGATGACAGTGCGTATTACTTATTACAACGTAGAATTTGTTATAAAGATGTACAAATGTGTAAATGATGGATTTCTAAAAAAACAGCTATTTTTATTCTAACAAATATATTGGAGAACTATAATAATTTAAATAGAGCAAGAATAAACATTGATGCATCAATGTTTATTCTTGCTCTATTTAAATTCATAAAGGGAACCAATTGCATATTATAATTTATTAGAAAACAATGTTTTAACACCTAGTTTAAAAGAGTTTTAATGGATGTTGCTGAAATGTTGACCGTAAAGTTAAACAAACAAACAAACAAACATAAAGGTGAAATGTTACACAATCAGTAACAGATAGCCTATACATATTTGTTATTTTGAGTTACATCTTAGGTATGAAACCTAATAATAATACTCAGTTGCCTAAACTGATTTAAATGGAATAGGGTAGAAATCTACAGTTTAATCGAAGAAAATAGGTTACTCTAACCAACTGGTAGAAATAAAGCGGAAAACTTTATTCTCAAAGATGCAACAGGTTATTGTTTCCTACAACTGTCTAAGGTCTATAAATAAGTATTCAATGTTGCAAGAATAGATCAATAATTCTGACAGATTAGGAATTATCAATCATCAAGCAAAATATAATCCAGTTTTCTGTCTATTTTTCAAGATTTTATTAGCATTTATTTGCTGAAACCTGTCCTCTAGTCAATCCACTCTAAAACTGTTATTCAATACATAATTCACATCAAATATTGGTCTGTAAGTTGTGTTACACAACAGATAGTTTAGTGACTTCTGTCAAAATAATATTGATAAAACAAGCTGATAGTTTATTTCAAGATGCATTATTTCTCATCAAGTAGATGGAATTAATCGGCAGATTATAAGTATTGTCGGAAAATGATTGAAAGAGAAAGCTTGAAATTATTGACGAAAATCTAAATATTTGATTTTTCAGAGTATCTTCTTTATTCAAAGAATATTGATAGTTTTTCAATGAGATTATTTTTTAAAAAACTACCATGAAAACTTCATTTTGTTGAATTTTCATCAGTTACTTAAAGCATTACTATTAAATTTCTATTCATTTGATTGTTGTGCGGTTTTGTTGTTTGTTCGGTTGTGTAATAGAAACGGAAACAAATTTGATAAAAAGAGGCATTCTCATAAATTATTACTAAGCATTATGTCAAAATATATACTTAGTCAGTTATTGAATGATCAAGTTCATCATAAAGTGATAATTCAGAAAGGAAGTCATTTAAAAAGTCAAACAAAAATTACACAGTTGAGGTATCTGAGTTTGAGTAATATCAACAAAGGGAAATCATAAGACGGGAGAGATAACAAACCTAATTTTTACAGATCTCTTAGTAAACTTAACACTGTTTAGCCAGTCGTGATCACCACAGGATTATTCATTTACAAGTATGACCCTGTGTAAAGTAGTTAGCATAAACTGTAAGAGTATGTTGAACTATGGATAAAATACACATATTTGGCGCTTCTTATATTTTGATGATTTATAAGCTTGTGTAATTGTTCTATGATCGAAATTATCTTCAAGTATTCTCAAATACATATATATTAATCGTCAAAATGGAATTTAAAACTATTCTATTGATCAAATAATAGTATTTTTAATGGTCTATTATACTTTAAATCTCAGAAGATAAATGAATATGGGTCATAGTTACCACGGGTTAGTTATGCTGTCAATTTGTGAGCATTCATACGCACATTCGAACACACACGCACAAGCACATCTTAGTGTTGAAGTATCACGAAAAGCAGTGATACAATAAAAAAAAGTCATTTGTGTTGAAATATTCATTTGATATTCAACACGAATATTAAAATATTTGGCTACTATTAATGGTACCAGTTAGTTATCACTATTCTTTTGATTTGCATTTAGTTTCAACTATTTTTAGTCAATACGGGTTTCTATTGTTCAACAAATCTCTGTTCTTTCATTATTTGTGTTTATTTTAATCAAATATGTAGTTTAAAATCAATATTAAAATATTTTATCTAATTTAACAGTCAAGTTACGGTTTTTAAATCAGCTCAAAATTCAAGATAGATCAACAAATCATTAGAGACAAATCATTGTAGACAATTAATAATAGATTGACTCTCTAGAATTAATGTGATGCATTTAACATTTCAACTACAATTGATCGGTATAAACGATTTTCACTTATAAAAGTGTCTTCGAATGGTAAGTTGTGTCTTGATCAATAAAGGCAAACAGATTTTATGGATCAGAGAAAGAATTTTCAATGTTATGGATAGGTTAATACAAATAAATTCATTGAAAGTACTTTGTTAGTATAAAGTTCGATTGTTTTAACAAAATCCGGTCTTTGACGTTATCTAAACTGATGTTTGTATAGGACGATGATGATCTCTTAACAGAGGAAATTAAAAATAAGCAACATATATAAGTACTTGATACTTAGACCACTGGGTCATTATCTAATGTTTCACATTTTCAGCTTTAATATGGTGTGACAGCTCACGATTAGTTTCGGCTGGTAAATACCTCACATCCAATATATATTAAACCTTGTCAGTTATGACTTAGTAAAACATGATTGAACACTATCAGGTAATCTCATATCTTAATGAACTAGGTAATTTTATTTGGGTTTGCAGTTGGTCCCAGTCCATAATAAAAATGATTTTGCAATTATCATTTCCTTTGTTAAAATTGAATCTCGTCTTTCTAGAAACCAAGACAATCGAAAGGTAAGGAATGTTTTACAGTACTATACGAAGTGTTTTCCATATCAAGTAAAAGTGTGGCACTGACGAACAAAAACATAAGATATTACCCTAGTTTCTTTTATAAACAATTCTTTTTCAAGTTGATTACTGATTTATCTGTATAACACAAACAATCAGTTTAATTTAAACAGTTAAATTTATCTCGTTGTTGATATTCGTGACTGAATTTTAACCAATTTTAATTGATATATATGGATTGTTTGAGGATGGTCTTGACAGAACCACTTCACTATGATGCAGGTATATCTAACTTATGAGTCTGAATTTGGAAGAAGCGTACATCCCGGATTCCACTGCACAATCTCTTTCTTAATGAGTACATTGAAATAGTCAATATATAATACACATAGGCTAACTATGCCATTGAAATTCACTCAAGAATATTAAAAACAATGAATATTTAAAATAAATAAACACAGCGTACTTGTGTTGGTTTTTGAAGTTTTCCAGATTTACTTCCATGATATATGTAGACTGCACCACCGTTGTCTTCATAAGGAGCACCGACAGCAAAGTCTAATTTCATTATGATTAAGTGTAAAAAGAGGTAATAAATATTGTCTACATGATACGGAGAGTAAAAAGTTATTCTTTATCCTCAAGATTGATGGAATAATGAATAAACATTTTTTTGAAATAAGGTTATAAACCATTTTTTTATTGTTTAAGCACAATATGGAGAAATATATAACAGGGTTTTATTGTATAAGCACATACACAAATATAGATACACACACATATACAAAATATGTTCATAGATAATAAAAAGAAATTGGAAAATATAACATACTGTGAAGGACATTACTTCAAAGAAAGGAATAATTAATACAAGTGAACTCATGGTAAAAAGTTATAGATTAGTTTACTGGTGGTCTAAAGTGATATGCACTTAAAAATAAATATATGGTATTATCCTAAAGTGTATTCAGTAACTTGTACGGAAAATCTTTAAGTCATATAATACTTTGTTTCAACTGGAGTTTTTTCAGTTTTGGTTACGTCGTTATAATCTAAATGTTATAAATTAACCAATTGTTTTAAGTAAATAAGGTAGGAACAATTTTTGGTTCAATATTTATAACATGCACTGAAAGGATGGATAGTGTATGTGTGAACTGTAAACTGCTAAGGCATGACAACTCGGTAGTACAAATAGAATCATCCACGGAATAAACCTGAGACATGTGAAACATAAAACTTATACACATACACATAGCTTTAGTAATCTTTTAAATCACTGAAGATAAAGTACTCATATGGATTAGAGAGAAAAGATTGTTTGCAAAAATGAAATAATGATACGCTCTTATTAGTATCTGTAGATGTAGAATCATTTTTGTGATCGTTGCAAACAAGTTTTCGTTTTTTATTATTTAACAAGGGGAGATATGATTCATATTGAACGATCATTGAGAAGTGACCAATAATTCAAGGATCAAGTACAGTCCTTAAATCCAATTGAGTTCTACTAATCAAGCTCTCATGTTGTCACCACTCTGAGTGAATTATAGCAATTCACATGCAGTTGAGTTTGGTCTCATTTAATTCAGTTAAGCCCTTTTGTTAACTTATTTACTCATTTTTTCGTTAAATATTTATCTAAAGTGAAAAAGATTCTGACACTGAATCATTATAATTCAAGGGCGAAGACAGTTATGTGGTATCCTATTTTCGTTTACAATTTTGGTGTGTGCTACTTATATTGACATAAGAAGTATGTGATGTTAGTCAGGAACAGAATGTCTGGCAGCAGAGTGACAAGAGGATCGAACAGTAAAGAATGGAAATAGAATGAAATTTGTATGAAAATGCAAGAAAGAACAATGAAGTCTGTGTCATTATGAGACAATTGATGGACATTTTGCAAATCACGTATTGTTAGATTTTATTAAGAAGTCCTGAAATTTTGTGTCAACTACATTCGATTGTGTTCACTACACAAAAACTGATGAAGGGTGGGATTACTTAATTAAGTAGCAACTCGAAGTAGTGCAGTAAAACGACAGGGAAGGGAAATGTTTGTAGGGATTTATTTAGTTTACAAATGCTAACTAGAGACTAATAATTGGTGATTTGACCTCAAGTGTAGTTACACACTTTTACAACTAGATTAATTATATCATCATCCAGCTATTCAACGCATGACGTATGAAGTCAGTTAATAAGAATCTCTGGTCCTGAATTTCATCAAAATTGAGTTATTCGACTGGAGCACTATAATGACACCGGTTTAGATTTTTGGACGGAAATTAGTTACGTTGAAATATTCACCGACTATTCAAACCGAAGTAGGTGTTGTGGAATATAAACATGAGATTGAATAAATTGAGAGCCGAGTTTTCGTAACCAGTAAGCTATAATTTACCTAATCCTTATTACTGACCATGTAACAGAGAAGAAGATACACTAGACCATATTATGATAGAAAATTCAATGAACGATATTGGTCTCCTTTTGTGATTTCTGTTTAAATTTAGGACCACGTTAGTCTTGAAGAATTCATATAAAGAATATAATCACTAAACAAATAAGTTGCTCTGAAGCTCCTAATACGTTAAATGATAACAGTCTGTAAAGATCATAAATATATAGTAGATTCTATTCCTAATTACTATGAAGTATTCTTAGATCGTTAAATTAAAACCAGAATTTTGTATGACACTGATACATTTTTTGATCGTTAACATTACCTTGAAAACCATCGTGATTAATATCACCAAGTTTTGTAATTGTCGCTCCAAATCCAGGAATATGTGAATTACCACAATTATGAGATGGAGGTGTAATTATTTGAAAAGTTTCAGGATAATTATAACTAAACAACTCCACGCCACTGACTTCATCCATTGGTGTATAGAAATATGATTGTCTATTTAAAAATATAAACACTGCTCCGTGTCTTCTATGTCCACCGACAGTCGTATTGGAATATTGATAAGGTGCACCGACAATTAGATCATCCCAACTAATAAAAATGTGAGATAAAACAAGTCGGTGAACTATCCAACAAATAACAACCTAAAACTTCTTTATTATTTAGAGACAAAATTATTGGATTTTTAATGATTTATTTAGTACAGGAAGCATAGTCTACTGTTTGTTAGACTTAATTTTGTAGGAAGTATATATAATCTGCACAGTCAGTACGTGACTTGGTTTATTTCAAATGTTTGATGGAACTTGTACTTCAGATCACTTATCTGCTGTCCGAATAGATTCTGGTGAGCGGAGTTTCTGGAAATCTATATATGCGATTCTAAAACAAAACAGTTAAGGGTTTACAAATGATGAGGTAGCCACAGAGGTAAATTTTGAAGGACTGCCAGAGATGTTACGAATAATAAAAACGTAAACAAGGCATGTAGTCGATTGCAAATGAAGATAGCATTGCTATACTGCAAGGTCTATAAGCTAGAACATTTACGAATTTCATACGCGTATTAATTGGAAAGAATAGTAATCGGATAAAATGATTAAGCCTAAATCGGAGGCCGAATTTTTCAAATGTGAAGTGATATAATAGACAGTAACTTGCACCACTTTACAGCATAATATTACAGTTACTACCAGGAGACTACCGGTAGGAATAAATCTAATTGTAATTTTATTTTCAATATCCTAAATATGCCATATCATGATGGATGCCTGGTAAAGAACAAACACCTAACACTGTTCTTCACATTGATCTATATTTCATTTAATATGTATATGTTGTGTGGCATGTGCTACTTATGTCGACATAAGTAGTATATTACGCTAGTCAGGAATAGAATGTCTGGCAGCAGAAGTTCGAAAGGATCGAGGAGGAAAGAACGGGAACAGAAATCAGTTGGTATGACTATGCACAAACAATGAATTCTGAGACAATTAATGAACATTTTGTTAATGAAGGATTTACTGTTAAGTTCTCAAATTTTACTAAGACATTGGTCCTCACTTATGTTCTCATTCACTCATAGAAAGCTTTCAAGAGAATAGGTTGAAGCTTTACTGAAGTTATTGTTCCCAATATTATCAATTCAGTTCTTGCTTATACTCAATAAATTGTAAATTTAAGAAAATTCCCTGAATGAATTCAATGAATAACACACATATATATAGCGAAAAACATTCAAATGCAAATGTCTTCATCAATGTCATGATTTAAAATTAAACAAATTATTTGAATAAATAAAGATCCAAATCTTTTTTTTAAAAAAAAGTTTCATTGTCACTTAATTTAAACAAAAATTACTGAATCATTTAATGTAATTAAAGTGTATTTAGAGATTGAAATTATTTAAATAAATGAATGACAATTAAATCATTTGATGCAGTAAATACTAAGTCAGTAAATGTATCATTTAATTGATTCATGGTAATTCATTCAGTCTGAAGTATTGATTTTCAATAATCTGACAACAACAACAACAACAACGACAAAATTTAAAGTAATATTGAATGTCACATTATCTTATAAATCTTTATTGTTTTAGTTCAGGGGTTACATAAAAGTTCACATTGATCGAATCGGAATGAGCTTAAGATGATAAACTTAAATTATTGTTTTTGGTTGAGATCATGAATTAATTGATGTTAGACCACCGTTGGAAACCTGGAAGCACTGGACGGCCGTTTCATCCTAGTATGGGACTCCTCAGCAGTGCTCATCCACGATCCCGCACCCCGCGGGATTCGAACCCAGGACCTACTGGCTTCGCGCCTGAGCACTTAACCATTAGACCACTGAGCCGGCATCCAATGGTGTTAGTGTCTAACATCAACCAATCCACGAAATTGCGCGACCACCTTCCATTGTACTGAGGTAGATACCTGTCTCTACCCGACACGGATTAGCTCCACTGGTCACGACTTCTCACTAGAACTCCGAGAATTCCCTCACGAAGCTAGTCACTAGTGAGCACATGTTTATTATCAGTATGGGGGTTGTGGAGATTGTTAAGTTTTTGGTTGAGATCATGAATGCGCACTGCTGAGGAGTCCCATACTAGGACGAAACAGCCGTCCAGTGCTTCCAGGTTTCCAACGGTGTTCTAACATCAATTAATTCATGATCTCAACCAAAAACTTAACAATCTCCACAACCCCCATACTGTTAAATTATTGTATCGGAATATAATTCAACATTTTGTTTTGTTTTCACAATTCACTATGAATGTACTAAAAGTAGTACAATATTACTCGTGGTAAAAATATATCTAAATACACCTGTCTACTGCAATAGATTTTATGGATCATGAGTTTACTATACTTTAGTGACTACTGTAAATATCTTTCTTGTTACTGTTTATTAACACATTTATTTTACATAGTAGTGAGTGAGTGAATCTGATAAGTGTTGTATAAATATTACATATCCAGAAGTATATGTAATATACCTTTAAATTAAATTGATGTCATTTTGTACATATAGTTCTGCTACACTTTTAGGAAAGTAAGAGAGATAGAATGATAGGAAAAATGTTTAATCGTTTAATAATTTGAAGTACATGTATCTAAAGTTGAAATTAGTTAATCTTTTTAGTAGAGATAAGTTATTCAATGCTCTGATGTCTAATGATAAGTGACCGTTTGATAAACTTAGGAATGAATGCCTCCAGTAAATATACTGTATATATCTAGTACTGCAGTTCTTATTTATAGTTCAATGAGCTTTATCGTATTTTAAACTTAAGATATTCATGCATGCATCTATGTATATATATATATATATATATAATCTGTTTCACATAGAATGGTATTTCGATCATTACATGAATCCAGAGTATATTAAAACAAAATTTCGAAATACAGTATGATCAACTATCATTTTGTAAATGATAGATATAATTTTCATAGGATTATATTTTATTTACAACTGTTTAGGGTATTGTTTGAAAGTTCCATAGTATGCATTAGTTTTTCGTATCTCAGATAATCTACGGGGATTATAAACTAGAGACTGCAGTATTTATATTCTATTGCAATACAATTTGTAAAAGTAGTTTTTTTGTATACTGATTAATTTCCTTTGATCAGTATAGGGCTGTGGAGATTGTTTAATTTAAACTGATATCATGAATGGATAAATATTAGACCATCACAACCTTATACTGATATTTATCATGTGCTCACTAGTGATTGGATTCAAGATGAGTTTTCTGGAGTTCTAGTGAGAAGCCGTGACCAGTGGAGTTCAACCGTGTCTGTTGCTGAGGCAGTTACTCACTGAAGACAATGGTGGACGGTCGCACAATATCATGGATTGGTTGAAGTTAGACATTAGCACTGTTGGATGTCGGTTCAGTGGTCTAGAGGGTAATTTCCTTTTATCTATTTATTTAAATTAAATTGAAATCATTCTAATTCGTGTATACTTTGAAATCTATACAAGTGGCTAAAATATAGAGAAAAGTATAACGACGTAAAAATGAACGACAACCTGATTGGATTATCATTTAGGAGAAAGGCTTTAAAATGAAGTATTCGATCGAGTCATTATTATTTTATACTATTTATAGTAAAGACATCTTACTTATCCCAAAAGTAATGTAGTACGTTTGTATTTGTAACTAGTGTTTTCAACTAAATTTATTTTACAGATTGAAAACAACTAATCTGACAAACTGAACTGCCTAGCAAATGTACAATTTAGTTGTGTTAAGTTTATATTATGTGATACAGTAACTTTACTCTTTGTTATTTCATTGAAAAACAACAAAAATAATCATCATTCGACCTTATTCTGATTATTAATTTACATATTATGAGAGTTTACCGAAACTTTTCGTACTTAGCTACAGTCATTCGCTGGTCTATTTATTTAGACGTTAGGTGGTTGAAAGTGATCGGAAAGAGATTTTGGTCTTATGTATCTTGCTAGCTGGCATTTGTCAAGAACGTGTAATTGGGATCTTGATGCAACTGACACTTGGTGGGATTCGAATTCATGTCAACAAGTCTCCCAGTCTTAGAAGTTATCAGTGGGCCAGTAAGGCCATGGTTAACCTTCTATAGGACAGAGATATTTAAAAATGATTGATCTCAGAGTAGAGGAGAATGTCATATTTGCCTAGTCCTTTAAAATGGTTTGAATTCTATTGATCTAGGTGTAGTGTAACCACAAGCCTAGGTAGTTCGACTTCGGGTGCATTATATTTAGATGTCAGATGGTAACAGGTAGTTACGACAGTAGGTTTTGTACTAGCCCGTTCCTCCAATCTTAAGTGAATCGATGCTTCTTGTGAAATTCGAACTTATTCATTTTGAAATGTGATTTAAGAATTCATCTGTTTTCTGTTGTAAATAAAGTTCACTCAATGATAATTTTAGTTTAAGGAGAGTATTACCTATTCTTTCTAAATCTTTTTCCCCTTTCCTGTAGTATTCAGAATTGAGTCAGATTCACACTGAGTTATACATATTGTTAAGTGGTCATTTATAACTTCATGTAGTTAGTGATCATAGTACATAAACCTAGATTTATAAGTCACAACAAATCTAGTGTTAAAAAATCTCATTTAAATAAGATGCCATTTACATAAGTGATACTATTATAAGTAATATAAATAACAAAAGTACTTTTAAGTTTATATATATTCAGATTCAATATGTTAGATCCACATACATTATCAATATGTGCATTTTTCAAATACCATATTTTGAAAACTCTTACGTACTTTGTTTTAAACATACACTGAATTCTACATTGTTTTGTTTAATTACATTGATTGACCTCAAGTATACTTTAAACTTGTTATTTTGTATATCGCAATACGAAAAAAAGAACAAGGTATCATCATAATAGCCAGTAATTGATAGTAGATAGATTACCAAATTCAAACAAAAAAGCACTGATATATCGATGTAATTGTGTTTTTAGAATATAATGTTATGCTGGCAATATTTCAAGTTTCCAGCATATTCCAAAACACAATCGATTGATAAAGAATAAATGGAATGTAGTTAACAGAGGAATTCCAATTTAAACTCGTCACCTGAATGTACCTTCTTCCAAGCCATTACAAATTAAGTTAAAACTTGTTTTATTTGATTACAGATTATTTTTCAGGTGATTCCGATTCAGTAAAAAGACTATGATTAAGTTAATCAAATTTTCACAGATGATTTTTTGCTAAATATCTATTTATAAAAAGCTTTCAGATCGATTTATTAGTGACTTATAGAGAAAGCGATTTCACGAGTGTGATACTTATCCACACCTATATAGAGAACTGACTAAAGCTGAAAGTATTTTTGGATTTCAAGCTATGTTAGGTTGTCGTTTTGTAATTAAGTGTATAGTGTCAGTTATTATGGCAAGCCCATATATCTTATTCTAACATCCGGACATCCTATTTTATTCATTTTACTTGAGCCATATTTTTACCTTGTCAATTATTCGCTTGTCAGTCTTGACTGTTTTTATATGAGCGTATATGTGTGTGCCCTTCTTATCCTATTAATCACGTCTGTAGCTTTATTTTGTCTGACTATAAATATTGAGTAACGCTCGACTAAAATGGAGTTGGCTTCCCAGCCGTTTTCCATACGTGTCAAAATTGCTTTGTTATGGCTCTCGCTCGCTGCTTGCTTGCCTTTCAGCACAACTCTTCTATGCTTGTTTAACGCATCGGTACATTTGGATATATGTGTGTGGTCTCGTAATAAACGTAATCAACGCTTTGTATTTGTCTTCTGATTAATATACCGTTGGGACGTTATATAGAACGGTTATCAAGACGAGCTGTATACAAAGTTTAATGATTATATCGAGTACCGACCACCACAAGTGAAATCTTGAACAATGATGGAACAACTGGCTAGTATTCTTCAATTCATAATGGTTTTCCGATTAACTCCAGTTCGTAATGAAAATTCTACTGCATAAATAATTAGTTTATTGATAAATAATAATATTTATATAATTCCTATGAAATCTACTTACCCATCTCCATTAATATCGAGAAATATAAGTGAATGACCAAATCGACTGCCAAAACTTTGTCCTTCTATTTTCATTAATGGTTTGATATTATTTCTACCATTTTGTTTATTACTTTGAAATATTAATACGATTCCAGTGCCAAATTTCGTTTTATCAGTGAAACCATTTACAGCACTACTTGGTACACCTGGACCACCATAAGCCACATACAATTCATGTGATTTTAATCCCGGTAATGGTGCATACAATCGATCGGTAGTGTCAAGAGATGAACCTTTAGATAGAAGGTGAAGTAAAGTGTTGATATTAATAAGCTGTATTCACATTTATGCCAATATTTATTTAAGATAAAAACAACAGTTACATTATATTCACTGAGAATGTAGAAATGTATCCGTAAACAAAAGTATCTATCAGAGAATAAGTTTTTAAAAGCTAGGCATATTAGAACATTATGTATATTTTGTAGATACACTTCTAGTATACAAAAAAGAGTACTTTAAATTATTAAATTCATTAAAATAGAAGAAACTACTTAACATAGTTAATTCAGTGACAAATAAAAATAAATGTCATTTTTTTAAAATTAGTATTCATAGTTATTAAAAAGAAATAAATGAAAACATAAAAATATTAGAAAGCGGTCTTGTGAATATTATAGCTATTTGATAGTTGAGATCATAAACCAATTGAAGCTAGGTTAAACGTTCGCGCGCGAGTTCAACAGATCCTGGGTCCGAATCCTGCGGGGCGGGATGATGGATGCGAACTGCTGAGTAGTCTAACAATAGGTCGAAACGGCCGTCCACTGCTTCCAGGTTTTTCGTGGCGGTCTAGCTTCAAATGATTCATGATCTCAACTAGTAAAAAAGAAAAAAAGACGAATAAACTGAGTAAATCTAGAATATGAGTTGAATATATTGCCACTTATGAATTTAAAAAAAAAACAATCTATTAAGTACTCGTTAAACTCAATAACTGATCATCTGTCATCTTCTTAGAATAGAAAGATGGAAAGGTTAGTGAACCAAATAATTTCCAGTGTTTCACTTCAAATTCAATTTTCAATTATTTTTACAATAGTGATATTTATTTAATTTATGTAGTTAAGGTGTTTTGAATAAATGGAAGTATTCACCTTATTATTATTAGTTAGTTCTTGTCAGAATGTGTTCCGAAAGAAAACTTACAATCATATGCTGATGATTGGTTTGGAAATTCTTTTGGTTAATAATTAATAATTCAAACTCTTGATTTTAAAAAAAAACGTATATAGTTTTAAGATATTTGTTCTATAATACAAACTGAATATTCATTTTAAACTATTCAATTAATTGTCTATAGGAAAGGAAACAGTGACATTCATTTGTGTAAATATTTACGTTGTCTGGGAATGGTTACTGAGGCAGGGAGAAAGTAGTCTCAGCTAAATAGCCTAAAAGTTTGAAGCTTATTTAAAACTTGAATTTTACCGAAACAACTGTCATCAATGGGACCGGATGTTCGTCGAGCTATTACGGAAACTATTCAAGTTGAAATTATACCACTGAATACCAACCTAGTGGTTCTGATAATTCAGCATTCGTTGTAAAACCTGAAAATTCTAAGTTCGAAACCTTGAAGAGTCATGTATGTGTACTGATGGTGAGTCCCACATTAAATAGAAACAGCTAGTTAATGCTCCTTGATTCTCAATGGTGGCAGAAAACAAATCATTCTGTGATGTATACAACCTAAAATAGACTAACCTCTTCTAAACTTCCGAAAGGAAAGTAGGACAGTTTACAGATAGTTTATTTTTAAATGTATTAAATTCCATTTTTAGTTCAAGAATAATAATAAGTGATAGAAAACATAACGAAATATTACGATGATTAGAAGTGATCGAGAAGAAGCACTGGGTTGATATTTCATGGTAGTTGATACTCATCGATGCAGCGCGAGTTTATTCTTCTGGAATCTAATGCTCATTCGTGTGACAGCAGACTGCTCATTACAAACAGAACAGTACAAATTTTAAGCTCTCTAATATTAATAATAATAATAATAATAATAATAATAATAATAATAATAATAGTATTTTGTCTTTTAACAAGATATTTATGAATAACCAATGGGTAATAAGCATTGGTTTTCAGAATTGTTCCTACTGATAAAAAAATACAAAATCCTTTTTATTAACTTGTGTAGGATTATTAGCATACAAACATTAACAATCATAGAAGATTACATTATACAAATGACCGATTATAAACACTTTATTAACACTTAATACTATCTCGTTTATTTACTTATTTCTTAAGTAAATTTGACATGTACTGCGTATAAATAGAGAGAATGAATGCTTAATGTATCTATAGGTCATTTCAGTGTTAACTATTAGTAAATGATGATTCATTGAATTAGCTAAAAGCAAAAGAAGTAAACAATATTCATAAAAATCATATAAAATAATTAGACCTATAAACATATATAATGAAATAGTCAAATCCACAATGTAAATACCTAACACTTTTGATGATTTCAAGCATAATCTACTAGACTGATAGGTATAAGTTAAACAAATATACTAAATTTCCTATTTCATAAAAGTTGAACATTAAGCAATAAACAGATCATTTGAATATCTTTAAAAGACAAACAATTCAAAGTGCATGAACAATAAACACATACCATATATATATGAAACAAAATACTTTTCGATAACCTAGTTATACAATTTTACTTATAAATTTCATCATGAACTAATATATCAACTCAACAATCATTGATAACTAATAATTATTAAACAAGTAATGGTTCGTCATAGTTGAGAATTTTTTGTACAGTTGGAAATCATAAAATTTCATAGTGTGCAATATGAAATAGAAAAAAGTGCCTATATAATACTCTTATAAAAATAAAAATATAGTTATGAGATTATTGTAAATTATATGAAATTGTCTACTATTCGCCATTGATGATAATAATCGAAGTTTGCAAGTTTAACAATGGTATCGTTTTCTAGATTGGTTATTTATTCATTAGATATAGTGATCAATGAAAAAAAAACGTGATAGACAAGATGTATCACCTACTGGTGTTGTACTTATTATCATATAGTGTAGTGAACAGAACACGGGTGGGGACAATCGAATGTATTTAACACAAAATTACAGGACTTTTTAATAAAATCTAACAATCATAAAGTAATTTCTTAATTTGCAATATGTCCATCGATTGTCTCATAATGACTCAGACTTCATTGTTCTTGCATTTTCATAGAAATTGCATTCTGTTTCCATTCTTTACTGTTCGATCCTCTTGTCTCGCCGTTACCAGACATTCTGTTCTTGACTAACATCATATACTACTTATGACGATATAAGTAGCACACATTACAATAGGACCTATTTATCATAAATAACGTAGTTAAACAGAAAGCCTGTTAACTTTCGATTCTTTCAAAAACTGCACATACAACTGCAGATTGATTAAAAATTAATTATTTTAGATAAATTATTTTGCACAGGTTTCAAGGGGAAGTTGTTAAACAAATGACAATATACATGAAATCTGTCAACTGAATGTTTCCATTTGATGAGGCCAACTGATTGACTCGAGAGTATAGAATATATATGATGTACTTCTGTAAATTTTATCAGTAAGTAGCAAATTTACTTATTTTAAGGTTTTTTTATATGGAATGAATTTATCCAGGTACATCAATAATGATTTGAGTCTTAAATATACAAGACGCTTAATATTCTTATATTTGTTATGTCTCCTAGGTTTTTGACACTTCTACATCATAGGTAACAATCTGTAATAAAAATTTTATTAAGATGACAAATAATTCTACGATCCAATTATGTAGAATGTACTACATAACCAATAGCTTTAAAATTATTTGGAAATTATTCATGTCATAATTTTTAGCTTGTCATCAAATAGATAGACCTATTCATAAATATTGATTCTTAGTCAACTGGTCCGTTCAATTCTTTAACTTAGTGTGATATCAAAATTCATTGTGAAAATAATTTATTTACAAGAATGAAAAGGAAAATTATAAAATAATTAACTATGAATTGATATTTGGTTATAAATTTGTTTTTTACTTGGATATATTCAATGTTTTAAAATAGGAATATGTTTGTTGTTTCAATCGTCTAAAATTTAGTTTAAAAAATTGCTAGTCTTTCGCAAATACATCATATATATATATCGCAACGTAGAAAATAGTACGTCTGTAAATCGATTCAAGTTTCTGTACCATATTAGTAGAATTGTGGGGCTAGTAACAGGAATATAAAATATTAGAGATTGAAAATACAATTCAAGAAAATGGAAATTACTGAAATAAAAAGGAATTATGAGGAGTTCACAGGTTTAAAATTCGGGTATGGATGTATCTACTCCATTGCAAACGACTTTGGGCTGTGTGACTTAGAGTCTCTAACCACTGATTACGATAACCACACTGATCCCGACCAAGTAGTCTATACCCAATAACATGACTAAGTCCAATTGTCAGTGAATTCATGGACTGATAGCATGTTTTGGTTAAACCGCCATTAGATTTCTTATATCTCACACCTACATCAGAAAACACACCCAGTTGGGATAGGCTGTGGTTGGTTATATGTAACACATTTCACAACCATCTGAGTTGATGATGATTTACTATCTCTTCAGTCGAATACACAAGCAATACTTGGAAGACATCTGTGATCGAATACCAGTAACCTACGAATATCCTGTACTGTTAATGGTCATATTTCACATTCACAAAGTAGAGCGGAGAGAACGGCTGAGAAGTACACATATATATCAAAGGTGAGAAAGAAAGTTCAAGTTTATTTTAGTCACTTCATATAATTGTTCAGCACACGTTTATTATTAATCCTGATCACAATAACAGGTTCAGATGAGTATAAAAATGGTGTACTTGGATCTTCTTACGTTACCATGACATTAAAAGCATTTTTACAATCATAACAGATTAAAAATCATATTGTCCCTGATATTCAAGCACCAAATTCAAACATAACACACAACCAATCGCAAAGAATGTTCATTCATTCCTAAATGAGCCAACTGCTTAGTGAACTAGCATTTTGGTTAGTTTACCTTTGAATATTTATCAAGTTGACTTTTTAGTAGTTAGTAATACACCTTCGCTTTGGTGTTACCTCATCAATAAAATTTATGTCAGTTTGCCTAAAACATATAATAATTGTAGGATTCACTTTTCTAAACACAAGTTTTTAACAGTTGAATTCACGAGTTGATATAAGCCAGACAATCATTGAAAACCTGGAAGCACTGAACGGTCGTTTTGTCGTAGTAAGAGACACCTCAGTAGCGCGTACACATGATGTTGCACGCGGGACTCGAAATTGAATTGCTATATTAGTAAGATAAGTATGGTATAAATATTTAACCTATGCACACATGAATGTTAAACTATAGCTTTTATGTAAATAACTATTATCAGGAATTTATTTTACAAAACAACAACTTCTATCTAAAGATCAATATAAGTTGACATTTTAGCATTATCAAAATTGCACTATATAGTCAAAGATGTTCACTACATATTTCAAGTGTGATTATCAGTGAATTGTACATGTTCACTTATGGTTTTGATAATTGAGTTGAACAACAATCTGAAATATTAACATCCTCACCACTACCACCGTTGTGTAGGGCGGTATTAAATGTTGATGTGGAATATGATCGACATTTATAGTAATAATAACAATAATAATCAGTTGATAGTTCTTAACAATTAGTTAAGTGGAAAACGTCATAGTATTACTGATCTGTTTTAATTTTTTGAATGTAATTTTCTATCATGAAATGGAATCAGACGGAGAAATATTGCATTACTTCGTGAATTAACTGAAGATGAAAGTGTAGACTACTAAATTCTCATCAAGTACTTTAAAGACACTTCCGGGTTCATGTGTTCAAAGTTCAATCCTAAGTACAGTCTTTTATGTATGTACGTGCACTGTTGATAATTAATAAACTAGAATAAAATAGATTGTATTTAGGTTACACAGCGGTTAACAGTGAGACCCATAGTGTGCTTATCGTCCTATTTGAAACTCTTTAGCTTAATATAACTGAATCTTAGTTTTGATGTTCACACAGTCAAAAAGGCAGTATAAACCCTTACAATAAACTTCATACCTGTTGCACAAGTTAGTTGCTATTTACAGTTAACAACTCAGACAACGTGTGGGCGATTGGAGCGAAATTCGGTGAATTGAAATTTCACTGTGAGGATCAAGATTGAGGTGAAGGCTTATACAGCTGACGAGTTACAAAACATATGTCCTCGATTTCATCGCTTATCGTGATCCAACTTTACTAAAACTTCCAAATTAATGGCAACATCAAGGACATTTATTCAAGACTTACGCATGCTAGTATAGACCAACCGATTCCAATCTTTAACATCATCAACGAAAAAACATAATTTCTTACTGACAGGAGGAGATACTTGTTTGGCGTCTCTTGGCTTTTCAGTGTTTCCTTTGCGTCTGATGGAAGTTCGTCACAAAAACTATCTTTCAATCAAATGAATTTAAACAAACTGTTAAAAAAGGAGTTCTTTTAAACTAGAAAATTTTCATCCTGTAGCGAATGACTTTGGACGAAATCAGTGGAACCGTATTTTGACAGAAAATCAGATGAGATTATCAACAACATTGTTCATATTCATTAAGTATGTTGTATTCATTAATTTCAATCACTTTTTCCGTCAACTTAGTTGGTGCGCCTGTATACTATATTAAATTTAATTAAAAATACTGTTTCAAGAGGCTAGAGTTGTCCACAACTGTCTGCTACGAACATGTCCAGCGTGCGACCTGACATAGCGGACGAAGAATACAGTTGTTATGTTATGTTTGAGATACAATTATTGATAAAAATTAAACTGCCATATACATCCATATCTATAATTATTAATGATGGTTTTATTCAATATATGTCTAATACAGTATAGAATTCTACTAAATGAAAGGATAAATGACCGAAAGTTTTGGGTATAACATACTTAGTGAATATTGAAAATATTTCTAGAAAGCCTCAGCCGTCGACAAGCTGAGTAAAACCGAAAAAATATCAGTAATACAACTGCTGAGGTTGTGTATAATTTGTGCGTGAGCGTTTCAACTAATCACCTATCCTTAAAAATATTTGAAAATAATTTATACAGTACAATTTTATGTATCCGATTCTATTAAGTGTTACATCTAGACATTTAGTGTTCCCGATTGTCATATGGTAAATTCTATTTGCAAATAATTAAGTGTTCTTCTAATACAACATAACGAGTGGAAAGTTTAATAGACAGGACATCTCTGGACAACAGTACTTCAGTATAATAATCCATGCACTAGTACAGAAAACGGGACTTTCCAAATAACTTTGTATTCTGTACAGAAGCCAAAAGTTGAAAAGGAACAAGTCTATTTTTACAATAACAAGCGATAACTCAAATGTATCGCAAAATTAGCAAACTGACAGTGATGACGACCAAGAAGGTAATAGCAAATGTTACTTAGAAATTATGGATATGAAAAATCTGATTGAGGTTATCTTTTAAAAAAAGAACTAACATGTAATAAAAATAGCTACATAACCTGATCTCTCTTTCTGAATTACACTGTGTAAAATTTAATGTTGGTACTTGGGCGGCTAAAACGAAGTAGGTGGAGTGGTGCTTGGATCCGTGATGTTTTGACCAGCAGCACTGATTCAGCCACTTACTGCTCTAGAATTACGCTTACATAATCGATCAAAATGAGAGTGTACTTGGTAATACACCTCTATGAAATAAAACAAACAATTGGTTGAACCTGGTACATTTGGAAGAGAGTTGGTCACAAATGAAATTGGTGAATAAAAACACCATTTTAAATTAAAGAATCCTTTCTTCTATACTTAATATTATTTACTGTATAAAGAATGGTAGACAAATTAAGTATAGAATCTTCTTTATTTTAATATTGAGTTTATAGTATGCCATTATTAATACTGAATATAAATTTATCAATACATATATTTCAAGTGGGTTGGAGAATGCTGGTTGGCGGCCTATGCTCCACTGGGAGTAACAGGCGTAAATAAGTAAGTAGGTATATTACAATTCACATCTTACCAAGAAGTGTATTTGAAGGAATATTTTCAACTGAGGTTATTACTCGCTCAAAGGTGTTTGTATTCACTGAAGCCCCAACACCTGTAATTAAAAATACACGTACATTTTAGGCATATCGAAAATATACACAAAACAATTTCTATTATATGTTGAAGAGATTTCTGTCCAAAAAACTTTTCATTCAAATTTATAAAGGAAACATTGACATCAGCAATACCAAAAAGTACCGAGCTTCAAGAGCAATGTTTCCATAAGTGTTTAAACTTACGAGAAAATAAACATGTGGTTATTGATCGTACTCTCTATTTCATGATTTTTACTAGCTACATACCGTTTACAATTTGAAAAAAAAACAACGAAAAATGACAAGAACAATGATATGACGATTAATGGCTTTCAAGTTTTTATTTTATACTTTAACTGAGTAGTCAGATAATAAAATTCAGTCTCCATTGGTGTATAAAAGAATTATTTATTTCACGTTATGTTGTTTAAAAGCTAGTATAGTTGTTACTGAATAAATATTGATATAGAGCACTTATCTAACATACTTTATTTTACTGTAATTTATCACTCAATACAGAAGTAACTTTACATTTAGCACATATACTATTTTTAAAGTATGACGTCAAAAACATTAAAAAAAATATATACTCACGAGAGTATGGTGACGAAATTCGATCAAAATAGATTTATTATTCTGTGTATTCAAGATATTGCTAAGATAGAACTCAAACCTAATAGCATTGAAATCAAATGCTTATGCTAAAAGGAATACGAATCAAGAATGATAACCAGGGACAGAGAAGCACTAATCATAAGAAAATTTTATTCTGTTCAGTGAAAAGCTTCTTATTACATGGTACAATTATGCATATATATATATATATATATATATATATATATATATATATATATATATATATATATATATATATATATATATATATATTGGTAGTAAGTGATCTTTGGCAAGAATTTGTAACATGACAAATATGGAAGAAATCTGAAGGATATGTAGATCTACAGGGAAATAATGTGATATTGACACAAGAAAAAAAGTAGACATTTTTTATCATTACTAATATTATTCAGTAAACAAGTGAGGAAGAGAAAGGGAAAGATATGGGAAAGTAGTATTTAATACAGAAAGAACATAAACAACTACATAATGTTGTAGAAAAAATGATCATCTAAACTAAATGATTGCATCAAATTAGTTAGGTTTGTATATTTTAAGCAACAAAGAAAAGTATCATGTATACACGCCAAAAAGCACAATATGACTAAAATATTACTTTGATAATAACTATGATAATTTTCTGTTTAAATTTAGAAACAATTGGTTCTATCATGAGTCAATTGAAGCCAGACCACCATGGAAAACCTGGAAGCACTGGACGGCCGTTTCGTCCTATTGTGGGACTCCTCAGCAGTGAGCATCCACAATCCCGCTCGCGGGATTCGAACCCAGGACCTTCGGTCTCGCGCGCGAACGCTTGAACTTTGAAGAAAATAATTTCAACTCATTTTTGTAGTTTTACATTATTGTGACTATGTGTATTTAGGAGATTTTATGAAATATTTGGAATTTTTTGAGAATCTTATAATCGAGGAATTTAAAGAGATCCATCACAGTGGTTAGTGTATTTCTTTTTATCTCTCCTTGGAAGAAACGAGTAGAGACTACTCTACAGAATTCAGATATCAAATATACTTTAAGATGGAAAGAGATATCATGGGAGAGAAACTGGCTAGAAAACGTTACGGATAAATATAAATTGCAACGAACCACTACTTGCAAACGTCTTTATACGTACGTTCTTGAATCTTCACAAGTTGAATAATGTATATTGTTTATTTTATGTTGATAATTCTTAAGAGTAATCAAACATCTGGCATTGAATAAAGTGAATTCCATTACTAATTATTACTTTGCACGTTGCTTTTAATAAGTTCACAAATTTCTGTTGACGAATAATGAGAGATGGATAAAAGCTTATGGAGTAACAAAGAGGATATGGAAAATTGAGTATGATCTTTTAATAGCAAAGATTATCCAAAGTGAATGATCATGTTTGTTCACTATACTAATCAAGTAAACTGCTCTAAATAGTATTACATTCTGAATGAAGACTAGTATACAGAAGAGAAAATGATAATTCTATAACTCAACGAAACTGATTTTTTTATAGACGATGTTCATTACGATTTGAAGTCAACTGAGGTACCATTGAAGCCTATGAACGACTGAACACCTATCACAAGAATCCTTAACAGTGTTTATACATAACGACTAGGTAGGACTTAATATTCGTTCTTCATTATGTGACTTTTTTATTTTCAACTTTAATTATTCATTTTTCAACTGATAAACAACTTATTGTCATATACTATTCTGATAGAATTAACTGCGAATACATAATAGCTTTAAATATTCAATATGTACATTGTTATTAGGTACTGTTCGATTGCTATTTGGGGATCGACTGCATGAGTAGATTTTGTTAAATACTAATAACCATGTGTCAATTTTGTTTTCTTACCACAAGGAACTTATTTTATTTTATTGTACCCACAGAATATCGATTGAGTAGAGGACAAACTAATAGACACAATGATATTAAATTTCATTAATCAATTCAATATTTTACTCACCTTTCTCAAAATAAAAATGTGGACCACCCATAAATAATTGTTTTGGCCTATTAGGATGTTGATTAACTGATGCACCAAATGTACAATATCTCAGATCAATTGATTTATCAGAATCTTTAACATTTAAACAAATTGCACTTGGTGCAGGATTTAATTGAGGCTCTTCTAAACGTTCATTAAATTCAAAGCAACCACCAGGTAAATAAACAGATGCTGCTGATGACCATGAAAGACGAGGTGCACAAACCTGGATTTTTTTTTAATTGATGAATAAACAGAAAATAAGTAATATAGACAAAAAACATTTTGTTTAAGTAAATGTTGAAATCTTTTATCAACTGATAAATATGTTTTGAAATATAACTGCGTACCCGATAAAATAATAAAGGAACATCAATTTTATCAACTCGAAATATAAAATTAGATTAATTGTTTGGTTTATCAAATCAATTCAGACAATCATGTTTTAATCAATTGGTTTTCATTTCAATTTATTTACAAAAAAGAACACAGTAATAAATACAATTGGATCTGAAAGTTTCTAGATCGACAAATGATGTATTATATAACTAAGGCAGTTACTATGACAATGTAGCGCAAATTATTTTTCTGTGGTATATTTACATAGAGTTCCCAAATAGAAGTTTTCTTTCAGTAATGTACATCTTTGTAACTTGAAAAATAGTTAATTCAAAAAAGCATTATTTAATATGTATACATAAACAGTAATTCATAATATTGGTTGACACATTTGTGAAGTTTTACTTTAAAAAGTTAGTGAAAATAAATAACTACAAATATTCAATAAGAACAGTGACATTTCTGAAGTAAAATGACCAGTTCTTATCAAAGGTATATGGAAGTTAGAACTTTTAAAAGATTTAATTCATTAACCTATATTTTAAAATACTTATTGACCATTTTTCTATGGTTTACCTTATGATTGTAGCAGTAGTAGTAGTAGTAATCGATTATGATTGTTTGAAGTTAGATATTAACACCGTTGGATCTCGGGGAATTCGGTGATCTAGAAGTTAAGCGTTTGCGTGTGAGACCGGTAGGTCCTGGGTTCAAACCCTTCGAGCGGGATCGTGGATGCTCACTACTGAGGTATCTCGTACTATGACAAAACCCCTTTCTGATTAGGTAGAATAGTTGGTTTTAATTCCCTAATCAATTAATAATAATTCAACTGTGAAAATATAATAATAATATTTTCATAAAAATCAATCTTTACCAGGTTCGTATGTTTTAATATCAATTGGAAGTTTTGGGCATTAATCAGAAGAAGAAAAAGACATTTCAATATAACTATTAAAAGTATTCATCTAGTTTACTAACATTTTACCTTGTATATACAACAAGATCGTATCATTATCGAGTCTATTCTATTATATGAAGCATGTATAAACTTGTTAAATTCACTATTAATAGGCATTAATAACTAATATCATCTGTCAAATAACTTTTTTACACAAATAATAAAAGATTGAATTTGGAACCGGTTAGAAATATGATATTTGTCATTACCGGATAGAAATAAAATGTTCATTTGATTTGTATTAATATTTAACCATAGTTAGTAACTTATTGATTGACAAGCCTGTTATAATCTAATGATGTGAGTTGAAATTTTTATATATAATTAATAGTTTATATTACTTATTATATTTTCATATTGCTCACTTAAATAGGAAGTGATTCTTTTTTCACTAAAATTCATTTAATCCTGTTGAGTGATCAAATTTATTAATTCGATCATCTTAGTCATTTTAATTGTCAAATGAAATAAGAAATTGTAGAAATACGATCAAGAGGAGATATTTTAATCATTAAAGCATACCGAAGAGTGTTATGTTTTCACCAAGAAATGTATTGTGGAATCATTATTTTTATTCAAGTGTTTGAGAAAAAGCAAACAGAACAAGAATGTGTGCTCAATGAAATGATCAATAAAAGATAAATAAATGATTATGTAAAAGTTGAGGATGAACAGAATGGTGAAGTTTGATCCCATCATTTTTAATATACTCTTAGTATAATATTCAACACAGACTAACACCAACCACTAAACCAGCTGTTTCATCTTAGCTCAGGACTAGTCAGTGATCCATAATTAGATTTTTCTTTTATTATATTTGACATAACTTTACCCTTAACAAGATAGAGCCTTGACTACTGAAGGTTTAATCCACAGCGAAGTACGCTGATTGGTCCATTTTTCAACCAACCAGTGGTAGAGGACAAATCAAAATGTTAGAGGATTCTCATGTAAATTCGAAATAAACTTCAATGTTTTTAGTGCTGTATCTTTTTATTTTGGTTATATTGAAATATATTTATATGTATATACTTCTTCAGTTCTTGTCTTGATTCGGGAAGACGTGAATGAAGCATAATGTTCGGGAAATACTAGACGGTGGAGAAAATAACAGTTATTCAGATTGATTTGCTAATCATGTCATAACTATTTTCCTCTTTGCTGTTTGCTTACGAAAAATATTGAAACTTGTGTCAGTACACAATTATGGTTGAATGATGATCTGATTTTGAAAACGTTTCATACAACGGTTGTCATTACATTTTTAATAAACTAATTAGTCTAAAGAACTGTAATATTTTGTCCAGAGAAACTAAACATAATATTCATGCCAACAATCAGAATTAACCATTAATTTTGTTTCAAATATTTGAATCTCAATAATTAATAACAATTAGTGCATTGAAATTAAATCAGGTATGAATTGAATAATGTGGAACCATAGAAACATAAAAATTATATTTATACAACTTTTAACATGCAGTGAAGCGAAACAGTTTCAAAATTAAAACTTTTTCTGAATACTGAACACTTCCATTACCTCCACCTTCAAAATCATATTCTTATTTATTGGAGTGTTCAAATAATTGTTGTGTAGTGAAAAAATCATTATGGCAGAAACTTCTATTTTCTTGTTTATTAGAAAAATGAAAATAAATAATGCCGAAGAGTTGAGCCAATCAGTTCTGAACAACATAGGAGCTTGACGCAAATGTGAGTTAACTTAGGTTGCAATGTTACACAGAAACGACGAGAAATCATCAAGATGAACAGGGAACTAGTTGAATGAATTGTACAAGCAATGGTGAGGGAAAAACCAAATATTGAGTATATAGTTTGAGACGACAAAATAAAAATATATGTATGAGATAGAGTTTATAAAATATTAGAAGTTAGTAAACTTGTATCACTTTTATTCATTGTATTGAGTGAAATGCATTTAGGTTTCTTATATTTAGCTATGTTAGCGCTAACTATTGCTGAGAACCATGACATTGGGTGACATAAGTTGATTCACACTGGAAGGTATCGATTCCTTCAAAATTACAGATAGGTCTTGCTGATAAGTGTCAATTAGAATGAAACCCTAGTTCAAAGTTTCTCTCTTGGTCGCATCAAATCATTGAACATTATAAAAAAATTACCTACAGTTCTTCCCTTAGCACTATTTACAACAATTATCCACAGTTAGCTTAAAATTGATTCTCCTGGATTCCTGTGAACTCATCGATGTTATAAGCAATTATTGTATTGATATAGAATAGATGCAATGTGCCTAGCAGTGGAATCCAGGATGAGAGTTTCGTTCTACTTTAAACTTGTCAGGTAAATGTACCTGTATCCCAGAGATGATATTCACTTTCGGACTCGGACCCAGTACAATACGCTTCAAACGCCATTGCACTATCCAAACCATTTCAAATCGAGTTAAGTCACTTTATAGTTTCAGTATTCAATGTATATCTAAATTTATTGAATAATGACCAAAAAACAAACCATTTAGGGTGAATAATTTGATACTACGACACGCTTCATGCTTCAGTTGTAGGTGCTTATCCAATTAACTAAGTTGTCGTATTTTACTTATTAGTTGTTTAATGAGGATAGGGGTCATATTTTCACACTACGTCATTGGGATATTTTGTACTGATTCTTACTTTATAGAACATCAGTCTTAATAGAAATAATTCTGTTGTATCACTGTTGATGAAAAATTAATGAATAACCTTTGTCTTAAACTCATGGGGATGGTTAATAGTTTCCTCAATCTGATAAGTGCTTTCGAATAAATAGTAAATGAGCAATGTTTTTCGACTTACTTCTTAAACATTTGACAATCTTCAAAGTTGTTATTTTTTAAATGCAATAAAAAGTAATCGGTAAACTAAACGAATTCAAACAGGGATACTCATTTGAAATCTACAAGTTTAATTCTATGTAGAAATATACTAGAATTTATTATTACTTAGAATGCTGAGCATTTCTTCTGTATCTAACGATATGAATATGTAGCATTATATCAAACTTTATCATACATAACCCGGGAAGATGGAATAATTGTCGAAAATAATAATAATAATAATAACGATAGAATTCCATTCTATTGACTTGAGAATAGATATCATTGATTAGTATTGAGAAAAATATAAACTAATTCAGGAATGAAATTTAAACTACTTATATTAAACTTTCAGTCGCATTTAATTTTAATGACATCACCTACTAATATAGCTACTTTAAACATAATAAATATTATTTCATAATCAATGAACTAATAACCAAGTAATCAAATTAATGAATTACAGTAATTCAGATCATTTATAATGACAAATACATTTATTATTAAATTAAAACAAAAAAAGAAAAGACTATTAATTACTATCAGTACTACGAGTACGTATAATATCACTTTTTATTATAAAGATTACTCTATTCATTTACGAACCAAAAAAAGGATTTCAATTAATAATTCATGAATTTTATTACAATGAACTCCTCTCTATCAATTTGTAAAGAGTAGTGAAAAAATGATGTTAACTAGTGATTATGTTTCATTTTTTGATTAATGTGTTTATCAGCAACAGATGAGATCGAATAGAAATCATAAAAGTTTTAATAATTAGTTTTTCAGATTAGACACCTATAATATGTTAGAAAAAAATTTATTAGTTTTATAGTTGAATTCATGAGTCAATTGAAGATAGACTAACATGGAAAACCTGGACGAACTGGATGGCCGTTTCGTCCTAGTATGGGACTTCTCAGCAGTGCACACCCACGATTCAAACCCACAACCTATCCTTCTCGTGACTGAACGCTTAACCTCTAGACCGCTAAGCCGGCCGGCATCCAAAGGTGTTAATGTCTAATTTTAACTAATCCACGAGATTGAGCAACATGTCTATTATTGTCTTTAGTGAGTTATT